ATTCTTTTCATTTTTAGATGCAATGTCAGCAATCTTAAGCCTATTTAATGAACTTAATTCGTAGTAATGTTACATTTTTATATGTAGAATCTAAAAACAAACGGTTTGCTTCACCTCTGCATGCGTTCGATATCTCTAATTAGGTTAGCATGGTACTCCAAGTACTGGTATATTACAAGTTTATACCTAATGTACGAGTATAAGCAAATAAAATATAGAAGATCCATTTTTTTTTTGAGTTGAGTTCTAAGGTCTCAGTATAGTTACAACGGCTGCCCTATCCTTCAAACCGAAAGGCATTAGTTACTGCTTCACGGCAGAAATGGGCAGGGTGGCTCTTTGTGTGAGTGTTTATTTTCAATCTTCTTCTTTGTCTCCACCTTATCCCACTAGGTGGGGTCGGCAGAGCTAATTTTCCTCTTCCATTCTCTTCTATCAGCCGTCATCTCAACACTCACTCCTCTCTCTCTCATATCGTCATTGACACACTCCATCCATGTCTTCTTCGGTCGACCTCTTCCTCCTTTACCTTCCATTACCATATCCTAGTCAAATGCATGCAGGGGTGTTTATTTTCTATACATGTATATAATATATTTAAACACATACCTATAAGTGTATTTATCAGTCTTTGTTACCCATAATACAGGGAATCCTAAATTGGGACCAGATGACCTTGCGTTATTTGTTCTCCCTCTCCCAGTTATTAAGTCAGTGCAGTTATTAAAACTCAATTTTTAAACTTAACGCAGCATAATTACCCAGAGATGGCAGCACGATTGCGGTATAGTCGGAACTCGGCTAACTTCATGCCACGACAGAGCCTAGCCGATGGAGGCGCGTAGACGCCATCACACTTACCAACCAGCCTTCTTGAAGAGCGGTGCCTCCGTCCTAAGACCTGTCATTCGTTTTCGTTTGCTAACGTCAAGAGAAGATTTCTAAATTTTTCTGTACTCAATATTTCTCTTAGCTCGATCACCCTATTCGCCCCTACGATGTCTAACGATGGTGTTAATAATTGTGGTTTCTCCGACAGATATCTTATATCAAATGTTACAAAATGATTAATCAATACTGAATAATTAAATCCGCATTAATATTCAATAACTGCCGAAGGCCATCGGCGCTGCTAAGGATCAAGAAATTCGGACTTTAAAAAATTCACCACAAAATCTACACAGGGTCGAAGATTAAAAAACTAATTGCTCCGGAATTCCCATAATTGAATCGGGATCGAGGGACTAAGCCAGGATCAAAAGGGTTCGAAAATATATTTCAATTTAATGCTAGATTTCGCCTGCGACGATGTCCGTATTGTGAATTTTACATATATCGTTTGAATCGCGCGTGGATAATTTTAATACTCTCTATGTAAATATCTGTAGATGTTTGATTGAATTTCTAGTGTTACTTTCATATAATATGAATTCTTTTCTAAGATAGCCAATGAGATTCAGCTTAAGAAGATCCTTCGCTTTAGAACCTTGACTCCTAAACCTTAGATGCCACTATAGCCAATGCGGTTCCATTGACAAAAACATTCATTTAGATAGAGAGAGAGAAAGAGAGAATATACTTTATTGCACATCAAAACACAATTAACATTTAAAAAAACAACCAACTAGCAGATATAGTTGTACTATAAGCAGTCTTATCGCTAAAAACGATCTCTTCCAGACAACTCTTTTCTTTACAGAAATGATGTTACAGTGTACTATTAATAATACATTATTAAGGAAAATACATCTAAACAATAAATATACACATACCGTTTACATAATATAATATGAAATCACTATATGATTTATATATCAATATACTTACATACACATAATAAATGAGACAGCTTTTAAAAAAATACATACTTTAAAATTACAATAGAACCAAATTTTCTACGGTCCTTACAAACACACAAATAAAAAAATATGAACACATATTTAATACTACCCTCGAAAATAATACATTTTGTGAAGCATTTTGACTGTGACTGTACTTCGTCTGTACCCGTCACGGCTATGTGCGTTCAAATAAATTAATTACACTCGTTCAAGTCAACACGTAATAAAGATATGATTAATTACATTAATAACTGTAAAGGACAATGCCCAAAAGTGGGCCAACTTCATGACAAAACTATTTGTACTTGAAAAACTATGCCTTATTTTTTCATGTTGTTTAGTTTATGTATCAACATTTCTTTCACCCTGGCATTGTTTTACAAAAAAATAAATTACTTATTTGATAACATCCCAAAACTGAGTGCCATAGTTTTTAAATTCGCCAATAGGCAAAGGGCCATACAGCCCATACAGCCTTATAGCAAACCTATATGCTGTCAAACGAAAGAGTTGTTTGTGACTTGAACAACAAATTAAAAAAAAATAGCTAATGCTTATAATTCACAGCCTTCTTAGTTTATTTTTTTTCAATTCAATATTTATATATTGTAATAATCATTATTACTTAAAACCATGAATTATTTAATATTTTTAGATATTAATGATTCCATTAGTAAAAATATCAATGGCCTACCATTACTCTATTCTTCTATACTAATATTATAAAGAGGAAAGATTTGTTTGTTTGTTTGTTTCGAATAGGCTCCGAAACTACTGGACCGATTTGAAAAATTCTTTTTCCATTAGAAGCCGACATTGTCCCTGATGAACATAGGCTTTGTTTCATGTGTGTTTTAATGTTTCCGAAGCGAAGCGAGGGCGGGTCGCTAGTATTATATATGATCAGAGAGTTTTGGCAGCAACCCGAGTGAAGCGTCACTTGAATTTTTATTTTAATGTTTCTTTAATAGTTTATTGTGTAATTTGTATTATTTGCATTTGTTATATTGTGTATAAAAGGTCTGCGTAAACTCATGCTCACTCAATGTGGTATTCGTCGAGTTGATGTCAAAACTCCCAAAAGGCAATAAAAAGAGATACACGGGCTTTTTATTGACATAAAAAATATATAACTTCGACAGACTAGGCTGTATAGGCTACGCTCTTTGCCTGCTTATTGGTGAATTTAATAACTACAACAACAATATCGTTGCCGGCTTCCGGATTTTCATTTCATTTTATTATTATGAGGATATAATAATAATAAAATGTACGTAAGGGCTTATTTCTAGCAACATTAACCACAATTAACTTATTTAATACTGTAAATAATTATGAGAGCGATTATTGATTTCGAAGAAAACAATTAACAACTTAATTTTAGCTGCAGAAAAAAAACAGATTTCTCTTAAACCTGGGTGAGAATATAAAAATCGTTTTCTGAATATGAAACGATATTTCTTTGTCTATCAAATTAAGTTAAAACCATCATGACAGGACAACTTTTTTTAGGGGCCCAAACGCCCATAGAAAATGGGCATTGTCCTTTATAATTGTTAGAAATCCAAAACAAATATTTATTTATGTTTTTGGAATATAGGTAATATGTATATACATATATCTGTATATGTACATATACATCTAATAAAGTTTCTGCAATAAATTAGGTATTTTAATTTTGGAAAATAAAATATATAAACTTTAAGTATAAGTACTTCAGGGCATATATAAAAATATATTATG